TTTCTTTCTTTCTTTCTTTCTTTCTTTCTTTCTTTCTTTCTTTCTTTCTTTCTTCCTCTTTTTGATACAGGGTTTCTCTGTGTAGCTCTGGCTATCCTGGAAACCAAATTTCTTCTTGTAAAATAACACAAGAACAACATTCTCAGTTTCTCATTTTTGCAAAAGGCCTTGGTGTTGGGGAATATTCAATCACACTATGAACCCCAAGTTTGCATTCATGTTAATTAAATAAAATTAATCTTGGGTCAGGAGGCTGAGTTAGCAACTAGTTGAAGAAAGCAATCAAAGCACATCAGAGGGCATCTGGAAGAGATAGAGAGATGCACGGGAAGTAGTAGGGAGGGGTTCTGAGTGGTGTGGCTTTTTCTGTTTTGTTTTTGGGGAGTGGAAGGACGGGCCTTTCAAGAGAGTCAGTAAGGAGAGAAAGTTAGCTAAGTGTTACTCTCTGAGCTAGCAGGTTTTCACCAGCCTTTGAGTCTCAAGTTTTATTTATAAATAGAATGATAGAGATTTAGCAGTAGCAACAGAGCCAGTGCCTGAAGGAGCAGAATTCTCACCAGGCTGCAGGCTGAGCACTGGGCTGCTGCCAGAGAAGCAGGCCAGTAACTGCGGAGTAGCAATTGCTGGCTGAAATAGCAGTAGATTAAGGCACAGCCACTGTGTCAAAGATATAACAACACCCTGGCAAAACAAATAAAATCAACCAAACAAACAAACAAAATCTGTGTCTTCTTTTAGATCTTGACAGAAGGCTCTTATCTGATCATTCAAGTATATAAGTAGTCAACCATGTCCTGGTGAAGAAAGCCAGGCACGTGGGTTGAGAGACACTTTTGGAAGGCCTTAGAGACAATAGTTGCTTTGATTTTAACAGAAGTCAGTAACATAATGCATAATGGCACCTCTGGGCAGAACATGCAAACAGAAAGGGCAGAGCACACACCTGTCTGGAAACGGCCCAGGTGTCCAGCTGTCACAGTGAATCGGTAGCCCCACTCGGTGTTGCTCATGTCAGAGGTAAATCGATAATACAGAGTATCTCCTGGATCACAAAACCAGAGACAGGTCAGGATATGAGAGCAACAGGATGGCAGCTGGGGTGTTTCTGATGAAATACATTAAGCTCATGTTAAAATCCTCTAATAATTTTAAAAAGTTTGTTTTACTTCTAGTTTTGGTAATTGTTTTGGGGTGAATGGTAGTGTGTATGGTAGGCATGTACATGCCAAGGTATATAAGTATAGTTGGTTCCCTTTCCATCATGTGTGTCCTGGGGCTTGAACTTGGAATGACAGGCTTGCCAGTAAGTGTTCCTACCACTGAGCCATCTCATGGCCTCAACATTATGTTTAAATGCTTCCTGTGAAGTCTATACAGGCTGGTGAGGTGGCTCAGTGGGCAAAAGTACTTGCTGACAAACCTGATAATGTGAGTTCAATCCCTAGGATCCATGTGGAGAGAATTGACTCCAAGTTGTTGCCTTCTGATCTCCACAGGAGCACTGAGACACATCCTCAGCCCCTTATATGGATGGATGGATGGAGAGAGAGAGAGAGAGGGAGGTAGAGCAAGCAAAAATTTAAAGGAAAAGTCTATATACCTGGAAGCTCAAAATCTTTCCACTTCTGTTGGGAGCCACTGAAGTTGTGTCGGTCCTGCTGAAAGTCACTACTGCTGGACATGGCTAATTCATCACAGCCTTCCTCTGTGTTGCACTGAGGATCAAATTTGATTGAGAGGTAGATCGCACCAGGAATGTGAACTTTATCCTAGGGAGGGAGACAGAGAATACTTCTATCACTGTCACTAGCTACCACTGTGGCTGTCACTGTAACCAGGGACATGGAGCATGAGCAAACCATAATCCCTCCCCCCAGCTCTGTGGAAGAGGCATAGTGGGCAGCCAGGAAAGGTCCAGAGGAGGGTGCTTACAGGGATCTCCCCAGGGGAAGGGACACATGAGCACCAGAGTGCCTTTCAGGTAGGGCAGCACCGGAGAGGTCTGCATGCTCTGAGAGTGGCAGGAGTATGGCTTGGGGGTTTACGGGAAGGCCATGATCATGTGGATAAGAAGAGGTGTCACAGCAGCTAGCGAGCCAGGTGGGGTGCGAGGGTGAGATTGGGAGGAAGCAGCAAGAGTAGCCCCAGAGGAGAGGCCAGTCTGGGACCATCAGGAAGGCAGAAAGGGGTACAACTTGTTAGCTGAGAGAATGAGGCAAGGAGAGAAGAAGCTTGTAAGGAAGAGGGTGAGGAGGTGTACACCTCTGTGAAATAATAATGTCTCAGCTGACCAACAGCTTCCGAACCAGCCTCTGTGCTCCTGTCCCAACTGCTCTAGACTGCTCCCATCTAGAAGCTCAGGCCTTGCCAACTCCAGCATCTCCAAAGGGCTAAGGAAAGGTGCAAGACATTGTTGAGTCATGAGAGTAGCTGAGGTGGCCCACACCAAACTCCTATGGCTCTCTATTTAGATACAAATTCAGGATGGAAAAGCTAAGACTGTGACGGCTGGGTAATTAAAAAAGGGGCTAGTGTCTCCAAGGTGTGGCCTGGTCATCAGGAGACAGAGAGGTTGGTTCTGGATCCCCACACAAACTCACTGCTGGAAGAAGCTGAGGATTCACGCAGAGGCGCTTACAATGGGAAAGTATATTCTCCTCTATTGACACAGCTAAATCTGGAGAAGGGGAAACCTGCTGCCCAGGACTCACGGCATCAGACAGGAGATGAGGAAATGTGTTGTTAGTTAGGACTGGTAAAAAGAGGAAAAGTAAGGTCTCTGATGCACCGCCTACCTCAAAGCTGGTGTTGTTGTTATATGGGTGTTTTGACTCCCTCACTTGCACCTCCATTCCTGGTTCCTCCATGAACTGACATGCAGCCAGGGCCATGGACCCCAACATGCCCTCTCGGCAGCCCTGGAGCACTTTCTGCAGGATCTGAGAAGAAAGAAGGTGGTTAAGAGCAGGGCAAACCAGTGTCATCAGGAGGGAGGGAGAGAGAGAGAGAGAGAGAGAGAGCGAGCCTACTTTAGTCTGAGATTCACCTGAAGGTACTGGCACCACCAACCCTAAACCAACTGCAACCCCAGGACCTTTCAACCAGGTCCTGTTCTGAATCAGAATAATGCCACTTCTAGAAGACCCACAATAAAAGAAACAACTAGAAATGTTCCAGGCCTCTGAAGAGCTCATCACTAAGCAGGTGGAAGAAGCTATAAGTAAACACTACAGCACACAGAGAAATAGCCAAAGTGAGGAGCTCTGGGGACCAACAGGCAGAAAAGCACATGTTCAAGCAGGGGTCTGCAGAGCAGTGACTGCCACTGCCCTTTATGGAAGGTGAATATGGCTAGAGCCCTCTGCCAGTGCCTGCAGGGCTGTGATGTCAGCAAACAATCTACGATACGCAAAAACCAGTGGTTCTAGGTGGGCAAAACAAAGGTCAGAGAACACATCAACCTCCCCATGTTCAGCATATTGAACAGGAGGGGGAGGACTAGGGGGGCAAATATGACCCAGGATTTCTGCACCTGAACTCGAGGAGAGAATGACTAACCGTGCACCAGAAGGAATAAGTACACAAGGATGCTAAGGTGTAGACCAGGATGTTTTCTGCTATGCTGGGTCCTCTGTTTCTATGCAGTGGAAATGGACTCTAACTCCGCATTACTTAGATATTTATTTTATGTATATGTATGTGGCTTCAAAATAAGTAAACACACTGTATTCGTATAGGTGCTTGTAGAGGCCAGGAGAAGGCACTGCATCCCCTGGAACTGGGGCTGCAGGAGATTGTGAGCTGCTCAGTGTGAGTGCTGGGACTAAACTCTTATCCTCTGCAGGGGCAGCAAGAGCTCTTAACTGCTCAGTCATTTCTCTGGCCTCACAGTATTATTTAAAAAGAAAACAAGGAAGACCTGATATAAAAATAAATGAGGCAGAGACATAGCTCAGTGGTTAAGTGCCCTGGCTACTCTGAAAGAGGACCCTAGTTGAGTTCCCAGCACGCACATGAAGGCTCCCAGCCATCTGCAGCTAGTTTCATACACTTCTTTTGACACATGATGTACTTACACACATGCAGGCACATTATGCACATAAAATAAAAATAAACTGGAAAAGAGAAAAACAAAATACAACATGGCTTCTAACCTAAAATTCCAAATTGGAAAACCAGACTTTAGAGAATGGCATGGCTGCTAGTGAAATCCCGTCACCAGAAGCCAGAGTCTTGGATAAGCCTCTCTACACCACCAGGATCATGGAACAACCAAGGCATGAGCGCAGATCACCTGACCTGCACAGACAGTCTGAAAATGACAGTTTAAGACAGAAGCAAAACCCTTACTGGATGCTTTCCTGTATTGTGGGAACAGGCCGTCTGGGCCTCTGAAGGGTATTACCTTGTCCCCTGACTTTGCATTATGTCAAATTCCAGGGACCTGAGAAGGCACAGGCTAGCTAGGAGAGCCATAAGACCTATAGGTGTGAAACAATCAAGGCAAAAAGCCAAGGCAGGTTTTCAGGGCCTACTGCTGCAAATGTTTCCTGCACTCAGCTTTCTGCTGTGAGCTCAACTCCAGAAAACCCATGGCACAGTCAAGAACAGCTCTTGCCTCAGCTGTATTCATACCTGTCAGGCAGCCATATTAGTCAAACACCCTGGGGTCACAGAGATATGGAAGATGGGCAGAGAGGAGCCTGGACTGAGCAGAGTTAGCTACCTTCTCCCACTGGTGCTTTTCTTCCAGCTGCATGAACATATCCAAAATGTAGGTCATATGTGCAGGACCACTGAGCTCTAGGATGTCCTCACTCACTGGCACATGCCCTGGCCACTCGGCCAGCAGGGAGGCAAGCACATGGCGAGCATAAAGGACTGCTGTGGCCTCGTTCACACGGAAGAGGTAGTCGCGGAGAGCCCTCTTGCTCTTGCAGTTCAGTTCCTTGTGCAGGAGGGCAGCACTCTTGCTCCGGCGCTGCTTGGCGTAGCTCTGCTGCAGCTCACTCTCTGTGCTGGAAATCAGCTTCTGGGTCACAGGGTTCGATTCAGCAGTGGCTTGGTCAGTATGCACAGGCCGGGACTGCAAAGCCAAGACCATCATTACAGAGGCTTGGCCTTCTCACTATAGGGGGCAGAAGTGTAAACACTTTGATCCCAAGGTAGGTGACATACCAAACATGGCAAGATAATCATGTCTGTGTCCACAGCTTTGGCGCTCTGTTCCTCCAGTCTCAGACTCCTACTAGGCTGCCACCTCTGTGCCAGGGAGCGAATTCTCTCATCGGTGGTGAGCTCATCTCCATCAAACCTGAAGGGAGCCCAGTGATAGGCACAGACAGTGCAGGAGACAAGAGCTTAAATTACACTGCAGTTGTCAGAAAGGTGATCAGAGCTACATTCTCACTATTACCCACCCAATGATATCATTACTTGCTGTAATTTGCAAACTATAGTCACATCATGCATCCATTCACCCACACATGTAGTCTTCCAAGAAGAATATCCTCGTAGCAGAGATACAAACTATCTCTTAGGAACCACTTTTCTCTTTATCTTCCTTTAAAAAAAATTTTATATTTATATATAAAGTATACATATAGTAATTTTATAATATATGTATTATATATTTTTAATAATAAAATTTTAAAAATGACTTTTTGTAGCCAGGTGGTGGTGCATAACTTTAATCCCAGCACTCAGGAGACAGAGGCGTGTGAATCTTTGTGAATTTGAGGTCAGTCGAATCTACAAAGAAAGTTCCAGGACAGCCAGGTTGTTACATAGAGAAACTCTTGTCTTGAAAACCAAAACAAACAAAATTACTTTTTGTGTACATGTTTTGTCTGCATGGTATGTCTGTGCATCACATGCAGGCCTAGTGCCCTCAGGAGTCACAAGAGGGGGCTAGCTATCAAACCCAGGTCCTCTATGAGAACAACAAGTGCTCCTAACCACTGAGACATTTCTCCCTCTCCAGCCTGTTTATATTTCTTTCTTAATTTTGGGATGTGTGTATGAGGGTTGACCTCGCTATCTTCTCAGCTGTTCTCCACCTTACTTTTAAAAATGGGGTCTCTCACTGAATCAAAGCTTACTGGTTTGACTTGACTGGCTGACTAGCAAGTTCCAGGATCCATTTGTCTCCATCCCCACATCCCTAATACTGGAGTTAGAGATGAGCACTGCCATGCTCAGCTTGTATAGGTACTGGGGATCCAAACTCAGGTCTTAATGCTTGCATGGCACACACTTAATCAAGTGTCTTCCAGCTCTTCCTCTCTCTGTCTGCCTCTGGTTGCTTACGTGAGAAAACCACAAATCCTACCTGCCTCAGTCTGAGGTCCTTCTGCTTTTCTAGTTACAGTAGCTTAGACTGTACCCTGACCATCTTCCTCTCATAGCACCTGCTCCATTTCACACAGGATTTTAGATAATACATAGGATAAAACAGAAACATGAATGAAGTTAATTGAAATTCACTCCACATTAGAATAAGAAGCTAAAGGGCTAGGGAGGTAGCTCAGCATATACAAGGCTCGGGTTTGATTCCCTAGCACAGCAAAAAGGGAGGGAGGGGACAGATGGAAGAGAGAGGAAGACGGTGGGAGGGAAAGATGTGCGTTTAGAAAGAGAGAGCAAGTAAAGCCAGGCCATGGGTACAGAAGAGGAGGCAGGGTGGGAGATATGTAAAGTTCCACACAAATTCAGGAGATGGGTTCTGGAGCTACCTCTGAAATTTCTGGCCAAGAGAAGGATATATTGTTGATTATATAATCATCCTTGTGAAAAAGGTCATGAAAATGATTTACAGGGATGAAAATATAAGAGCCAAACCCCCTCTTGAGTCATAGCACCTGCTCTGCTCTGTGCCATCTGCTCACTGGACAGCATGGGAGGCATCCCACAGTCTGTGCCTTTAAGACTGCACACATGACATTCTCAAAGGAAACTGTCACACTCTTAGGGACGACCCAGTCAAAGTGGAACCTTTCCAGGTACATCAAGAAGAACTCCAGGCTGGTCCTTGTGGCTGTCTGGCCTTCAGGGCCTCTCTCCAGATCTCATGGCAGCAGGTGAGGGTCCCACACCCTCACCTGGCACACTTCAGTGCATCTTAATGGTCTTTACCTCTTCTGAACTTCTAGGAAGAAAGAATCGGTCTTTTTCATCTGCAGCTCATATATGGCCCGGAGAATGTGCAGAGGAGCATTGAGGGCATCATGAGCCATCTGGAGGCAAGGGAAAAGGTGAGAAATAGACAAGGATATGTGCCTTAAGACACAAACAATATGCACTCTGAAGTGACAAACAGTATTGCAAGTTATCCCAGGTTACAGCTGAAGAACAATGTGTGGGTACTTTAAAAAAGCATGGCAAATTTTGAGTACTAAGATATGAACTATAAAATGTGCATTACTATTTAAAGCCACTTCAGGGGCTAAGGAATGGCTCAGTGGTTAAAAATACTTATTGCTTTTGCAAAAGACCTAGGTTTAGTTCCCAGCACCCACATGGTGGCTCAGAACTACCTGTAAGTCTAGTTTCAGGGGATTCACTACCCTTTTCTGGGCCTTTGCAGGCTCCTACATGCATGTGGTATATATAAAAATCACACAGGCACACAACATGCACATAAAATAAATAAATAAATCTTAAAATCACTACAATGATAAGGTTCTACTATCCTTTTGGATCTTCTCTGTATGCAACAGACTGTTTAGCAAATGAAGTCTCAGGACATCAAACTGAGCAGTTAAAAGGTTTTTTTAACTTATTTATGTGAATGGATGTTTTGCCTGAATGTTTATGCCTCAAGTGTGTGCCTAGTACACGTGGAAGCCAGAAGAGGGTGTCAGATCCTCTGGAACTGAAGTTAACAGACAGTTGTGAGCTCCCATTTGGAAGCTGGAACCCAACTTGGGTCTTTAGCCACTGAGCTCACCCTCCAGTTCTTAGACTTGTTTAGGTTGAAGCACAGCCTGAGCCAAAGAGAATCCATTCCTTTGATGCCTGTGCTCCATTCCTATGATGACCAGTGAACATACCAAGAAGCATATTCTGGTGGGTTCATCCAAGCTTTCAAGAGGGTCTAGCTTTTTTTGTTCTGGTTCTCCAGGGCTACTAACTGGCCGGTCCATTTCTTCCTCCTGGTCCCCTCGCTCTTCCAGCTCCAGGTCTCCATGTTCAGTCAAAGTGTTGATCTCCTTTTTTGAGGAGTACAGCATGATCGACAGAATCTACACACAAAGTCAGTCAAGCAGAACAAGTAGATGAGCGTTCATCAGTGAGGGAGAAGATGACATAGTCTTTAATTATGTAAGGGTCTTTGAGATTTACCCGAACTTTAAGATACCATAGTTCACATAGAGAGTATGTGATTAGTAAAGGAACACGAAAGCATGTTCAACTGTACTTATAATAGAAGAAATGCTAACTAAAACTATGGTGGCCCTTGTGTTTATTAACTTTCTTGACAGCACAAATAGATATTATCCTTTTTCACTTGTTTTGGAGAAATGTAACTACTAAACTATTAAAATATAACCTTTTGACCTACAACTTATCTTTTAGAAATGACAAGATGGATTAAAAATGCTGTTCAAAATCTGGCCAATGAAGCACTAATAATGGTAAAAAATGCAAAGTATTTTCCAGTCTTATACACAGCCATTAAGAAGGATGGTTATGGAAGCTGGAGAGATGGCTCAGCAGCTAAGAGAACTGGCTAAGCTTCCAGAGGACTTGAGTTCAATTCATAGAATCCATATGGCAGCTCACAACCATCTGCAACTGAAGTCCAGGAGAGCTGATGCCCTCTTTTGGCCTCTATGGGCACCAGGCATTCAAGTAGTATAGACATAGTTACAGGCAAAACACCCATACATATAATTTTCCTTAGACCTTAGCAAACCCTGTAGTATTCAGCCGATTCTTCATATGCAGGCATCTGTGAAGTGAGGGTAAGGGCACAGCACATCCCTGTCGTACTGCCCCTTATACTAGGAGCTAGCACTTGACCTTGAAAGACTCTGGGAACCACAAGAACTTCACTAAGAAACATCTACGGGCTCAGAGGAGTAACAATAAAATGGAATTATCGACTGAAATCTTACATAAGATAAACATGTATGCTCATATTTAGAAACTGATTTTAGCTCAACTTTAGAGGGAAATAATAATTCAAAAACACATTTTATTACCATGATTTAAGGGTCAATTATGTGTTTCCACAAAGTACTTCTCCAAGGTTTCTTAAACAAACACCCAATTCATTTTCCTGACAGAGAGGACAGGTGTCAGGATCCCTAATTCAGGAAGACGGGATCAAGGCTGGGTTTAAAAGCTGCACAGAATGAGAGTGCACAAGGAGGAACTGGTTGGAACAAGCTAGCTCTGCACCAGGGTGTAGATCTTCAGGGCAGCCCTCCTCTTTACCTCCAGGTCACGGAGGAGCCAGGTCTTACTGAAGCCGGTTCCTTTGCTGCATTTCTTCACCAGCAGCTTCAGCAGGTCAGTCTGGAGGAAGGTGGCATGGGTCTCCTCAAAACCGTGAGCCTGCCAAGACAGGAGAGTGAAGGTCAAGGTCAGCAGAGTACCAGTCTTTTCCCAGAGCTGAAGGTCCAATTGACCTTCCAGGGAAATTTCCAGTAAGTAAAAAAAGCACTCTGAAGCTGCCAGTGGTGGCACCTGCCGTTCGAGGACAGCCTGGTCTACAGAGCAAGTTCCAGGACAGGCTCCAAAGCTACACAGAGAAACCCTGTCTCGAAAAACCAAAAGAAAAAAAAAAAAAAAGCAAGCAAGCAAGTACCCTAAATCTTAACCAAAAATGCTTGACAATGGGAGGGCTTGGATTTTAGCCTCAAGCATTTTTGGAAAGTAAAGAGGGGAAGTGACATAAAATAGGCTTCAGAAGTGTTTGTTCGGTGAAAGAACACAGAGCGAATGATGCAGTGGCTCATGGCTAAGATTCTCAGGAATCCACAGGATGACCCCAGCTAAGACTCCTAGCAATAGTGGAGATAGTGCCTGAACTGTAACCAGATTGGTGAATACATCAACTGTCATCATAGAGCCTCCATCCAGGAATTGATGGAACCAGATACAGAGATCCATAACCAAGTACCTGGACGAGTTCCAGGAATCCAGTCGAAGAGAGGGAGGAGGGAATAGATGAGCAAGGGAGGTCAAGATCATGAATGGGAAATCTACAGAGACAGTTGCAGGAACTCATGAACTCTAAAGCAACAGCTGTAGTGCCTCCAAGGGAACAAAGTAGGCCCGCTGCATGTGGAAGACAGTTGTGTAGCTTGGCCTATCTGATGGGCTCCTGGAAGTAGGACCAGGATCAATCCCTGGTGCATGAGCTACTTTTCTGAGCTCATTTCCCTATAGTGGAATGCCATGCTCAGGCTTAATGCAGGGAAGAGGGGCTTGATCTCCCTCAACTTAATGGGCCAGGCTTTGTTGACTCCCCATGGCAGCCCTTACCCTTTGGGAGGAATGGATGAAGGGGTGGGTTGGGGGATGTGCACGAGACCTGTGGTTGGAAGGTAAAATAAAATTTAAAAAAATAAAAAAAAATCATTAATAAAATAAAATTCAAACCCTAACCATGGCTGACCAGGTCCTACAAAGCTCCCTGTCTGCTTCTTTGGCCTCAACACCTCAGCTGCACTATCTTAAAGACCTGGAGGTCCTTCTGCTCCCGTGACAATCATGCCTGGTCCACTATAAGGTCTGAAACTTACTATTTTTTTTGTCCATGTTATCCAAGGCTAGCTCCATATCTGCTGCCTCAAATTTCCCTTTTTTAAAAGGCTTTCCAATGCAGAGCTGTCTTCCTTGTAGGCAGGTGCCTTCTCTGGTATGGGAGACTATAAGCCTCATGAGAGCATGGCCCTTCTTTCTAGCTCACACTGCACACACAGTTCCATTTGGCTCTTGATAGTCAACAAATATCAATGGACTGAGGAATCGTGGTGGTGCACACCTTAATTCTAGCATTTGGGAAGTAGAGGCAGGCAGATCTCTGAGTCTGAGGCCAGCCTAGTCCATATAGTAAGTTCCATTCTAGACAGGGCTACATAAAGAATACCTGTCTCAAAAAAAAACAAATAAATAAAACTGGATAAGAATTTAAGAGCTCTGCCATCAGGGAGTTAATTTCCCTATTATAATGGAAACAGTGAAACACACCATGTCATGAAACACATCAGAAAATGAACAACTAGAAGATGAATGGTCTCAGCTGCCCAGAGCTGAAGAGCCCAGCAGTCAAGTCTCTGGTGGTGCCTGAGACCTTCCCATCCCCCCACGACTACCACTCAATGACCTCCCTACCAGAATTACCACTGAACACTTAAATATCAAGGGGCAACAAACTTCAGCAGAAATCCTTTCCAGGACAGCTCTGTAAGCAAGATCACCCGCAGATAACCTCAAATGTATTTCCCTGAAAGGTCCTCCCCAGCCTTCCAGCCCATTAAGGCCCACAAAGTCACCATGGGTCAGGGCTTCTCTCCACCCCAAACACTGTCCAATGCTCACCTAGCTGTTTCCTTCCAGCCTAATGGTCACACTCATCCCTTGAAGCTCCATGGAGCTGGCTCCCTTTATTCCTATGATAACCTAGAGGAGCTCCTGTCGGAAATGAACTGAAAAACCTTTCAGCTCAGTTTTCTTCCCCCAAGACAGGATTATGTTTCCATGAAGTCACAGTACCTGAGTCCATGAAACAATATTAAAAAAACTGAAACTTGCCAGGTGGTACTGGCACATAACTTTACTCCCAGCACTCAGGAGGCAGAGGCAGGCGGACTTCTGTGAGTTCGAGGCCAGCCTGATCTCTAAGAGCTAGTTCCAGGATAGGCTCCAAAGCTACAGAGAAACCCTGTCTTGAAAAACCAAAAAACAAACGAACAAAAAACCAAAACCAAAAACCTGAGAGTTGCCAGGATGGCACACGCCTTTAATTCCAGCACTCTGGAAGCAGAGGCAGGCAGATGTCTATGAGTGTGAGGCCAGTCTGGTTTACAAAGTAAGTTCCAGGACAGCCAATGACACACAGGAGAAACCCTGTCTCAAAAAACAAAACAAAACAACACAACAACAAAAAAACCAAAAACTTGTCTCAAAAAAAAACCCAAAAATAAAAACAACACGCAAAACAAAATAAAAACTGCAACTTAAAACACTTGGAAAATTCTTTCTTCCTTAAGGTTATCCTTAAATAAGGTCTCAAGCATTTTTAAAAACAACCCATTGTTAAGCATTCATTCAAATCAGATGGCATTTCCTCCTTGTTAATCCTCTGCAGATGTCAAATCACAGGTAGGTTTGTGCACATGGAAGAGGCTCACCATTACCTTTAGTGTTTTATATAAACCTTTGAGGGCCAAGGATAGGACCCAAGTAGCTTCCACTGCCTCAGGACAATGACTGTCCATGCTGGTTTGCAGAAGGTGACTGGCAATAAAGGCAAAGTGTTGGGAGTACTGACTCAGCTGGGCCTGAGAGGTGCCACACTCTTGTCCTCCTCCTTTCTGGACCAGTTGGTAGTCCTTCACTGATGCATCATGCCAAAAAGGAAAAAAGAAAAGTACAAAGATTACAGTTAGTGTTGTCTACAGCCAGGTTTCTCCATAGGCCTCACTAAAGTAAGGACTGAAGAAACAAGCCTCCCAGGCTCAGGTGTGGTTGCTATATTTAAGCCCAGTTTGCAGGTGAGCACAAAAGTAGTACAGGGCCACTTATTCACTTATTCATGGGGAAACTAAGAGTCACAATGCAAAATTCTTATTACTATGCATAAGCAGGTCATCACCAAAGTTGTCGTGATGATTGTTCTTGGTTGTCAACTTGATTACATGTGAGATTAACTAAAACCCAAGTGGCTGGGCACACCTGTGGGAAGAACCACTTCTAATTTATATCTTTTGGGGTAGGAAGATATACCTTTAGTCTGGGCCACACCTTCTGCTGGCAGCATATATAAAGGACATGGGAAGACGCTTGCTATCTGTCTGCTTGCCCTCTGTCTCCCTGGAAGGTCTGATGTGGGATGTGTTGCTTTTATTGGTTGATGAGTAAAGCTGTTTTGGCCAATGGCTCAGCAAGTAAAGCCAGGTGGGAAATCCGAACAGATATATATATAGAGAGAGAGTAGGCAGAGTCAAGGAGACGCCATGTAGCCGCAGAAGGAGATGCCAGAACATTACCGGTAAGTCGAAGCCTCATGACCATACATACATAGGCTAATAGAGATGGGTTAATTTAGGATGTAAGAGCTAGCTAAAAATACATCTGAGCCATTGTCTAAACAGTGTTGTAATTAATAAAGTTTCTGTGTGATTATTTGGGCCTGAGCAGGCAGGAAATGAAAGCACAGTCTCCATTTACATAATGGTACACAATGTGGGGCACGAATGCACGACCTTGAGATTGAGAGTCTCACACCAAAACATTGGCCAAACCATTGGCAAAACAGCTTTATTCATCAACCAATAAAAGCAACGCATATATAGAAGGACACCCCACAGAACTGATCTATCATCCCTTTACTGGCATTGGAGTCTGCTTCTTTGGGATTCTGGTATATATTGAAGATCAGCTGAGAGATCCAGCGTCATGGACTGAACAACGACTAAATTCTTGGACCTTCTATTGATAGACAGCCATTGTTGAACTAGATGGATCACAGCCTGTAAGTCATTCTCATAAATCCCTTTTCTCTTTCCTTTCTCTCTCCTCCCTCTCAATTCACCCTATCATTTCCATTTCTCTGAAGAACCCTGATCAATGCAGATTTTGGTACCAGAAGTGGTTCTAGAGCAACAGAAGTATAGGGATGAATTTTTTAAGTATCTGGAACAGGCTTTTTAGTTTGCCAACACCTACAGTTACTGAAGCCTCTCCTAGAAGCTCAGAGTACTCCAGCAATCCATTATCAATTGATGTGGTATATACTTGATTTGGCCTGAGATGGTCTTGAAGGCACAAGCAAGTTACATGAAGAAGTTGTCTACATGTCTATGGTTTCTATTCCCATTACAATGCCGTCTGCTGACAGGCATTCACCTACAACCTAAGGGGTATGCCTTATGATCTGCTGACTGAGGAAGAGAAGACTACAGCCTGGTTTACTGATGGTTCTGCACATTTTGCAGAAGCAAACAGCCGCAGCATTATGACACCTTTCTGGGACAACCCTAAAAGACACTGATGAAGGGAAATCTTCCCAGTGGGCAGAACTTCAGACAGTACAGTTTGCTTGAAAGTAGAAATAGTCAGATGTGTGATTATTTACTAGGAACTTGGAAAGAACAAGATTGAAAAATTGGTGAGAAACACACATCTGAGGATAAATCTCTCCAAGTGGGAGAAGGATGTAAAGATACTTGTGTCCCATGTAAATCACGGGATTTAAGATATCAAAGGGTGACTTCAGCAGAGGAGGAGTTCAATAATAAGTAAGTAAGATGACCTATTCTGTGGATAGTCAGCCTTTTCCCCCAGACATCTGTCATTGCTCATGGGCCCATGACCACGGTAACCATGATGGAGAGCTGCAGGTTATGATGGGCTCAGCAACATGGACTTCCTCTCACCAAGGCTGACTTGCCTATATTGTTTCTGAGTGCTAGATCTGCCAGCAACAGAGACCAACACTGAGACCCAGTTATGGTATCATTTTCTGAAGTAGTCAGCCAGCAATCTGCGGGCATGTTTACTATGCTGGATGGCCACTTCCTCTGTGGAAGAGACAACACTTTGTCCTTATTGGTGCAGATACTTATTTTGGTTATGGATTTGCCTTTCCTGTATGTAATGCTTCTGCCAAAACTACCATCTGTGGACTTACAGAATGCCTTATCATGCATGGTATTCAAATAACCCCTAAGCAGCCAGAGAAAAGACAGATATACTACAAACAGCAACAAAGATAACAACAGCAGACCTCATGCCAATTCATAGCAGAATCAGTGCAAGTCAGAGAATAACAGAGAAACATCTTTAAATAATTCGAAGAAAAAAAAACTATTAGGAGCTGGGGAGTAGCTGTGATGGTAGACTGTTTGCCAGCATTTGGTCTCCAGCACATTAACCTGGTGTGGTGGTAACCCCAGCACTCGAGGCAAAGGCAGAAGGATCACAAGTACCAAGTCATCCTTGGTTTATACCAAGTTCAAGGCAGCCTGTGGTATGTGACACACACACACACACACACACACAGAGAGAGAGAGAGAGAGAGAGAGAGAGAGAGAGAGAGAGAGAGAGGAAAAGAGAGAGAGAGGGAGAGAGGGAGAGGAGGGGGGGGAGAGAGAGAGAGAGAGAGAGAGAAAACAGCATAACAACAAATAACAAAATATCTCTTGGATCTTTTTTATCCAGAAAAATTATGTTTCATAAAGATTTTACTTTTAATTATGTATACACATCTGCCAGTGTGAGAGCTTGTACATGTAAGTACAGTGCTCATGGAGACAGGAGTGAGTGCTGGATTCCCTGGATCTGGAGTTACAGGTGGTTGTGAGGTACTGAATATGGGTGCTGGGAACCAAATAGGGTCCTCTGTATGAGCTCTTAACTGCTGAACCATCTCTCCAGCCCCAGAAAAATAATCTTTGAAAGATAAAGGCAAAGACAGGAGTGGTAGTGCACACCTGCAATACCAGTACTAGGGAGAGAAAGGCAGAAAGGCTCCAACTTCAAGGCCAGCCAGACAATCTCGTGAAAATCAGTCTTAAAAACAAGGATGAGGTCAGAACAAACATTTTCCAGATAGATTTTGTGATAGAACATGGACTACAAGAAATGCCAAGGGAAGTCTTTCAAATCAGAGAAAATTATACTAGATAGACTTTTGAATCTACAAAAAGCAATGAAGAACACCAGAAATAGTAAGTGTATAATTGAATATAAGATACATTGTTTTCATTTAGAAAAACCTCGGTAATAATCACTCACATTTTAAAGCCATCATTACGTACTATGAGATGTACATTATGTGCAATAAAAGTGTGACTACAATAACACAGAGTGGAGCAGATATGGGGCACAGATGCGCAGAACAAGCCTCAAGGCCATCTCCCAAGAGCTGACTAAAGCACTGACTACTCTGACACCGGAGCAACAGTTACAGTTAGCACCAATAACAGGCGTGAAGTGCACCTTTAGAAAATAATAAAAGTCAATCCAAAAGAAGACAAGAGAAGAAAAAAGAACAAGAACAGCAGCAAATGGAAAACAGGCAAGGAGATAGCAGACTTAAACTCAATCAACCATAAAATACCTGAATAAGTATTGAAACAAGGGACCATCAAACTGGATTAAAAAGAAGACTGACTATATGCTATCTATAAGAAACCAAATTTACATGTTTACTATGCTTATTAGTTACTATTACTGTTTTATCTGAGACAGGTCTCATTATGCTGCCTAGACAGGCCTCAAACGCACTATCAGCCTAGTCTTGATTGTATGATCCTCCTGCCTTGGTGCTGAGGTTACAGACATAAAAGACCTCTAAATGAGACACAGTATGTTCAAAAAAATGTACGTAGGCTTGGGAAAGAGAAGCAAAAGAGTAAAGAGACAGTAAGTGTAATATAAAAGAGTACAGACAGTCATAGGTTAAAGGAGTAAAGATAAAAAAATAAATATTAAACTTGTAGAAAAAGTAATAGAGTAAAGAAAAATAAGCCACATAAAGATGGAATATACAGAGAGTCTGGATTATGTACATTATTGTGTTTTATTTGAATTTTTTGACTGTGAAGGAGTTTAGTACAGCGAGACATTTTATTGTATGGGCTGCTAAGCTAAACCAACCTATATATTTTAAAGATTTCTTGACTTCAAAATTTGGGTCTAAGAATTTGTTGCTTTAGAAAAGAGATTCTTCTTTTGTTTCCACACAGGATGAGAACCTATGGATTTCTTCCGTGGTTTGATGGACCAAGACCCCCCAGAAAGGTCTTTGTGAACACCCCCAAAAACTACTTCGCCCAACAAAAAGCAGGAATAAGTTTGGAGAGAACTACACCCAAATTATCAAGTATTGTTTATAAATGTTTGTTTACATTTAAAGGGGGATATGCTACAGAGATGGATACTTTGCATTGGTATAGATCTTGGTTTATTGATACAAATTTAAGGCTAATTTTTGTCTTTTTTTGTATATTTCTGCTCTTGATTAAGGTGCTGTGTTTGTGCAGCTCATTTAAAAATATAATGTATAATTAAGAAATATAGGTTAATAGATAGTCATCTATAAAAGTCAAGTTTGTAGTCATGCTAGCTAGGTTTTCTAGATATATATATATTTCAGTTAGATAGGTACTCTTCAAATCTTTCAGAGACTTTCATAATATGGCATTTAAAATGTTTTAGGAACTTTGGACTTTTCATGACACTTAGACACATCTGCTCCTGGTAGCACCAATCTACTTCAAGAGCATGGTGGGCATCAAAGAGGCTCCTTATGAAGTTTGTTAGCCATTTGGGCAAAGAAACTGCTCTTGCCTGGACTGCTTGACGGTATGCTGTAGGAACTGGACATGCAGGACCCACAGAGAAATGACTACTGAACTTGCCTAAAGAAGGTGAGACAGTTCTTTGGGGTTCCTGCTTCATGAAAGAGTCTGCCAGACATTCTATGCAGGACACAGAAGAAAGCAACTGATGGACTTTGCCATTACAAGGCAGAACAGATCTTCAAATTTCCTGCTTCATGAAAAAGTCTGTTGAATACTATGGACCTGTGGGCTGAAGATGGGTGCCTGCAATGTTACAGAAGAACTTTGGATGACTGTCCAGGCAGCGAGATGTCTGTCAATTCTAGAGTTTTGGAAGTTGCTTACAAAGCACTTCCTCTTTACTTAGGTAATATTATATCCTTCTGGAGTCTTTGATGGAGTTGAAGAATAGATAGTTATAGTTTTCCTTAGTTATGATAAAATAGTTTTCCTTAGTTATGATAAAATATAAAGTAGATATAAATATTGTTAACTGTAATTCTTGCTTGATACCTATTTTGTTTTATGTAATCTTGCTATGTTGAGGTTGAAACCTTTATTTTTACTTACACAGAAAACGTGAGGTGATGTGGAAAGTCCTTCTGTGTATGTGCTGCTTTTATTGGTTAATAATGAAGCTGCTTTTGACCAATGGTTTAACAGAATATAGCCAGGATATAGATAGATAGATAGATAGATAGATAGATAGATAGATAGATAGATAGATAGATAGATAGA